TCAAAACCCATGAATTTTAGTCCAATGTTTGATAAAATATAATAAATTAGTCTTTTTACACAACACAAATTAATTCTCAACATTTGGACACGCTTGCCTTGGTTTTCTCTCTCATCGTGCCTCAAAATATTCTTTTATAGTAACACTTGTAGTGAAAATTTTCCGTTTTAGAACAAATTTGGAAATAAAAACGAGACAAATGTTCAAGAGTTGGGACTGTATTATAAGATATTACAATATGATATAGCATATTCATTTGCACATGGTCTAAGTTTTCCTATCTTGTTTCTAGAAGCCGTTTATGTGTTAGGCAGTGGAATATACCAATTCCTGATAACTGATTGTTTGGCAACAATATTTATTGTGGTACTTTCATAAGTCGTCTATTTGCTTTCTGAAGAACATTACCATTTTGGCGGACATTATACCATGCCCATGTGTCAGTGTTGAGGGGTCAGACTAATGGTTATCAAATGAGGTTATCTCTACTCTGAATTTAATTTAAAAAAATAAAATACTCCACATATTTTAAGAAACTAATTTACTTTGTTGTACTATTTTGGTTCTACAAAATGAAATATTTATATAGCCAACGATATTGCCAGCACTGTTTTTATCCTCCAGAGCAAATTTGACTTATCTTGCCAAAATTACCCTTATAAAGTCAAACTCTCTATCTCTCGCTAGTCTAACCCCTTAATCTCGCTCAATTTATTCTGCATCTACTTTATTTACATCCATTTTCCCCTCTGTCATAATTGTTTCTTTCCCGGGGTTTTTTCTACTCTAAAATGGGTTATGGAAAATTTTCTATCCTTAAAACTTTAAACTAATGTTACAATGTTTAGGCATAAACAAAAAGGTAAAGTTGAAGCTGAAAGTGAGTTGTTATTTGAGCAAAATGTCGTAGGAGTGTTGAATTTATCAATGTGTAGAATTAAGGGAGCTTGTTAATTAATCATTTTTCAAAATTTTTCTTCAAAAGTTCAAGATGCCTTGATGTTTAACATCGTGACAACATGCAGTTATGCAATGATTAGGGATTTATTCCATTTTTACAATGCATTTGAAGACTTATGAGTTGTACTCCAAAATACTTGTACACATCAACAGACTAAAAGTAAATCAAATCACGAGAAGTCTAATGTTGCAATAAATGAATGCTAAAATTTGCAATAGATGTATTGCGACAAATTGTTCTGAAATTCCAGCCAAAAAAAAAAATAAAATAAAATATAATGCAGCAAAAAGAATTATGTCTGCGTACATAAAAAAAAAAAAAGCATTACGTCTGCTGAAGTAAAAAAACACCATGTGCATCCAAAAGGTATCAATGGTCAGCATCTCCACATTAATAAATTAGAAACGGAAAGCCTTTAATTCTCGGAGCTTGAAACAACCTTTAGTTCAAGATGGCTCTCTTTATTTTATAGCTCAAATTCACACCTACGATAGATCATAAAGATTAAAAAACTTGCGAAATTGACACCAGTAACAATTCATTGCAAAAACCCAGTGCAAAAATATCAATTAAAACAAGATCATAAGGCTAACGATTTAACTAAATAATTGAGGTTAACAAAGCAACAATGCGTGCCTAGAACCACTTGTTTAGTTCCATAGGAATTCATCACATGAACTTGGTAGGAAGTTTAAGTCAATAGAGCTCATTTGATCTCTGACATCCACATTTATTGGAATTTGATCTTCACTCAAGTTAATTGTGGCAACTCGGCTTGTTTGGCCACTACCTTCTCCATGCCAAATAGTTTTATGCCTAAATCCAGCTTCAACAATTTAAAATTGGGAGTGATCTCTAGTTGTTGCACTCAATCCTTTTCTCCTTTTTCCTTAGATGGTCTTCCTTTACCTCGTTGTACTTCTGACTCAAAATTCAGTTGAGACTCTTCACTACCCAGTTCATACAATGTATCTTCAATGTTTTTCTTCTCATAAAGAGGCATACGATGATATTTCTCTTCCAACTTTCTAACCAATCCTCTAAAGATAGAATTACCATTATTAGGTTGACTAGGATCAAAAAGAGATTCTCTTGTATCAATGCGCCATTGTGGATGTATAGCTGTAAGAGGAATCGGTTTACCTATCCAAGAACTCATCATATGTGCACATGGTAATCCCATAGTCGCCGAGAAGCTACCAATGCATGTCGCACTTATCTTATGATTTATTAACAGCTCAAATTGTTTTTCTAACTTGTCCAAGGCAAAGAAAGACAAGCGAGACACAATTTCTCTTAAAAATGGAACATTGCATCTATGAGGAACTTGAATCCTTTCATTTGCTATCCTTACCTTAAGTTCCTTAAGATCATTTTCAAGGAGAATAGATACTCTTTCCTTCACTCCCAATATATCTCCAGTTGACCCAAGTATCTATCCTTCACTCCCAATAGAATTTACATTTGGAAAGATCATTTTTTTCAATGTGCCAAACACATAACAAATTTGAAGATTTAGGGAAAACCTCTTTAATAGCCTTCATCAATGCTAATTCTCTATCAGTCACAATAACAGAGGGACAAATTCCATTGCCAAGCATGTTACAAAAAGCACGTAATGCCCATTCGTAGTCTTTCTCACATTCATTTCTTAAAAATGCAAAGCATGAATAGAATGATGTGTTAAAACTTGTCATACCAATGATCTCAAGTAATGGTATCTTGTAGTGGTTGGTCTTATATGTGCAATCCATGACAAAAACAGTTGAATAACTTCTACTTAACGCAATCAATTCAGGATGTGCAAAGAAAACATGAGTTAAACAACCTTTTCCATCATCTTTATAGTCAAAAAGATATCCAGTCTTGCTAAAGTCTTCAAATAATACTTGAATGATAGTCCGACCTTTAGTGTTCTCCTTTGCAATTTTTCTCTTGCAATTGTAGACATCTCGAGCAACAATTTGCGAATCTTGATTTTCCAGCCGCATAAGAGAAATTATCTTGCATGGTGAAACTCCAGTCAGCTCATCTTTTTCACATTTAATATCACTTCTTCGGAGAAAACTCACTCAGATGGATGCCCCGAAATATCGTTCGACGCTTCATGATTATGTGAATCACTATGGATAAATATCTTCCAAAAACCTTCATTTTGCAGCTTTCCTTTTATTTGAAAAGGACAATTTATAAGACGAGTGCTTGTTTTCCTTTGTCTCTCTTCAATTGGGATTTTTACTCTATCCCGGTATACTCTTTTCTATCACATCCAAAGATAACATATCTATTTGGTCTTGAGCCTTTAATTGATAAGCTATACCCTTGAGCTGAGTAAAAATCTTTCGCCGCCTCAATGAGATCATCGCGAGTCCTATATGTAGTAACAAGACGTATATTCGTGTCTACTGCCGTCAGACGATATTGGTTAATCTTTTCAGCAACATGATCTGCCATAAGACTATACAAAAGAAAACAATTAGTGCTGCTAGGGATCAGTTAATTCAACAAGATAAAAGAAAAAAAAAAGAAACGGATAAGTTATGTATACAAGTTAGTAAACACGTATTTCCATAGGGACTGGTGTATTTCCCCAAATTTGAGCAAACACGTATGAACAAATCTCAACTCTTCTGATCAGATTCATTCTATTGTCCAAAAAATCAAACCAAAAAATAGGGAAAATAATCGAGATAAATTGCACTTGATGACCAAGTTATACAGAAGGTATCACCATTGTGCATTTTAATTTTAGGGAGATCTTCCCCTCCACATTTTCTATACAGTTCATGTTCTAATTGTAAAAGTTTCTCTCTAGATTTCTTATGAAGAGACAACGACTTTCCCAAACAAATAGATTCACTGAGCACACCCAACAAACCCTAGCAAGTCAGAGGATACACAAAAACAATGAAGAAGAAAAAAATTATTAACTTTTACACCCTATTCTACACCTAAAACTATTCCTCCGAGCTCACAATGCTAACTGGTTTTTATTGTTTTCTTCTTTTTGACAAAGCAACGAATAGGAGCATAAAAGAAGTGTATCCATGGTAGTGATAACACTCTCTAGTAGAGATTTACATTCAAAGTTGTTAATTTTCGGGACAAAATATAAATAATTAAATTACTTCTACACAATAATCTAAAGAGCCCATCTATTGTTCTGCTTGTCAATTGGCAAACAATCAAGGAATTTTGGAAAAAAGTAATCATACAAATTTGACAATGAAATAAGCTACGACAAATTGATCAATCCTACAAAATCAAAATCCTTCAAGGAAACATACACAAATAAACTATATTTTGAAGGATAGAGGAATGGAAACACGAGCTTCAAGAATTAATCCATAAAATCCAATTGAATTGCTAACAGATCATTTTATATTTCCAATTCTACCCAAAAGGCTAATTTCCAAAAAAATTCCTTTTCTTAAAGAAAGAACAACAAAGTAGTTTCAAATAACAAGAAGACGAGAGACTTACTAATTTAATCGGAGGGGAACAATAGAAATCAATCCACTTGTGGTTTGCTTTTTGTGTTCATACGGTTTTTCCTTACGCAAGTGGAAAAGATAAAAGACTGAAAGTGCACAACAACAAATATAAAAATGTCGATTGTCCCTAATCCCTAACATCGTAATCTGGATTTATTTTTGGAGCGAGATTGCAAATCCTTTTGGAGGGAGATTGAGACATCGGAGAGGAAGATATGGCGGTAATATGATGGAAGAGAACTCAAAAGAGAGTTTGCGAGAGAGATTTAGGGGAGAAAAATAGGTAGGTTGATTTAATAATGGCAATTTTGACAAAATAAGCTAAATTTGCTTTGGAGGTTAAAAACAGGGCAAATTATCTGGTACATCCGGGAATACGGTGTCCCCCCATGCGCGTGTACCTCACTCTCTTACAATAGCGTTAGTGAGCCATTATAATTCAGCTTTCTTTTTCTTTTTTTCTTTTTTTCTAAACGCGGGGATATATAAATAACCGAATTCATTCAAATTTGTAAAACTTTGTGATAGAGTATTATTGATTGGAGATGGCCGGCGACGATCGAGGCGTTGAGGCGGCAATGAGAGTCGGGGATCGTGGCGTTGAGGTGGACTCGGCCGGCGGCGATCGAGTCGTTGAGACGGTGACGGCGTTCAGCGATCGAGTTTCTGAGACGGCGACGGCGTTCAGCGATTGGGGAAAGGCTCTGATTCCACTAGAGTGACGAAACGGTGATTGGATTGACAATATGCTTAGTTCAGATCGAGTGATGAGTTATGTCGTTGATGATTCCGTCTTGATGAATGCGGAATGTAATTGTAGAAAATCGATCAAACAACCTTACTGTGCTAGTAAATCAACGCAAGGTCACAGTTCTATTGTAGATCAGCTGGAATCAGGTAATCAATCAAGTTTTATCCACAGTTCTATTTTTGTTAATATGAACTGGATAAGCAGTTATGCTGTGGTGGATATCCAAACTCTTTTTACTGGATATCCACGTTGTTGTGCTGGATATCCAGCTTATGTGTACTGGTTATCCAACTGATACACATGCGTATCCAAATTTTATTTGCTGGATATCCAACATTTTTGAGTTGTTTATATTGAATTGGTGTTTTTTCACAGTTCGGAGTGTACTGTTTGTGAGAGAATAATGAATCTAGTTTTTCACAGTTCTGTTTTTGTTAATGTTATATGAAGTGGATAAGCAGTTATGCTGTGTTGGATATCCAACTGATTTTTTGTTTTTCTGTTTGTCCCATTTTTTGTAAAAGAGCATATCAATCAGTTGGGGGATGATGTGATGCTGGATGATGCTTTGTGCATGGAAGTTACATCTGCTCTGAAGGGTGGGTTTTCTAACTTGCTTATATGGTTTAAATTTTTTTCTGATTTGTTTATCCAGTGTTAATACTGATTATCCGAATGCACGGTAATGGTTATCCAACCTTCTCTTTTTGTTTTTTCTCAGAATGTGGAGAAGATAATAGCGGCAATGAATTGGGAGTTGATAATGTGATGTTGGAGGAGGATGCCTTGCACAAGGAAATTTCATCTGTGACGAAGAATAATGATTTGGCTGTTTTTACTTTAGTTGGTAAGACGGCAAGAAGTGAGAAAGAAGCTTATGATTTGTATAATGATCATGCCCGATTGATTGGTTTTAGTGTGAGAGTGGGAAAACAGAAGTTTAGAGGTAAGACTGATAAAGTTAGGATGAAGAAGTTCTGTTGTAACCGCGAAGGATACAAGAGATCAAATGGAAATGGTGATGTATGCCATGAGAGGGTTAATTTTCGCTGTGGGTGCCCAGCTTATATCCAGTTTACTGTTGACAAAGATGGGTTGTGGACCTGTACAAAGCATCTGGTTGATCACAATCATGATCTTGTGCCGAATGAAATGATTGGACTTCTTCGATCTCAACGTGAAGTAGATGAAAATGATATGAAGATAATCAGAGACATGACAAGGAGTGGCAACCCTTTGGTTGATGCATTTAAGTTTGTGGCAAAATTACACGGGGGAAGCCCGAACATGAAATATACTTTGAGAGATGCCTACAATTATGAGCGTCCTGCTGTTGGATTTGAAGGTGGGGATTGTAATCAGCTCATGAAGATTTTTTGGGACATGAAGGAAACTGAAGAAGATTTCTTCTTTGATTTTGAGTGTGATGAGCAGGGTAGGCTGTGTATTTTCTTCTGGAGGGATGGCAGAATGCGAAAGGATTATAATTTGTTTGGTGACTTGCTTGTGTTTGATACAACATATCGAACAAACAGATATGGGATGATCTGTGCTCCATTTGTGGGTATGGATAATCATAACAAGAATGTCATGTTTGGTTGTGGTTTTGTGTTAAACGAGAAAGAACCCTCTTTTGATTGGTTGTTCAAGCAGTTTTTGAAATCAATGGGAGATAAACAGCCACAAACCATAATGACAGATCAAGCACCATCCATTGCTGCAAGTATTCGGACATGTTTTCCAAGTTCTAGGCATCGTCTCTGTGTATGGCACATAGGTGAAAATTCAAGAAAGCGAATTGGTTATTTAAGGAACAAGCCAGATTTTGTTAAGAACTTTAATTATCTGATGAAATACACTTCAACAGAAATCGAGTTCGAGGTATTATGGAAGAGGTCAGTTTGACAATATTTTTATTATTATTTTGATCATTTCCATGATTAAGAGTGTCTCTTATTTTTTTTGTTGTGTGGGTATGTGTTTGTTAGTGGTCATGTATGATCTTCCTGATGATTACTTATAGGTAGGTACGTTGTGTGGTAGGTACATTATAGAAGCACAACTTAAAAAAGGCATGGATAACTAGTTTACAGATTGTGGATAACCAGCCATAATGTATGGATGACTAGTTTACAGATTCTGGATAACCAGCAACTATGGTCGGATAAATAGTTTTTAGCCATTCTGGATAACCACCCCTTATGGTTGGATAACGAGTTTACTTATTGTGGATAACCAGCAATTATCTCTTGATAACCACCCGTTATGGCTGGATAACTAGTAGAAAGGCTTTCTTGGCTGGATAACTATATGGATAATCTAACTATTTTTCTTTTTATGCATGTGTTTTATTTGTGGTGCACAGATTATTGGATGAGTATGATTGTCATGATGACAAATGGCTCAGTGGTATTTATGATGTGAGGCATATGTGGTGCCCTGTATTTAGCAAAGATGTTTTTCTGGTGGTACCTTGTCTTCACAGAGGAGCGAGTCAACAAAGAATACAATTTGTCATAAAATGAAGGCCACATCATCACTTTGTGATTTCCATGGAATTTTCTCTGATGTTGTACACTGTTGGCGGGTAGCTGTGAGGGGTGAAGATCTACGTTGTAGCCAGGGAAACATCGATTCATATCTTCCCGGTGACCCTTTTCTGGAGAGCATTCGCAGAGTGTACACAGTTGAAGCATTCCGGGAGGTTCAGCAGTTGCACAAAGATGGGATGTTGTGCAGGCAGGAGCAGGTAGAGGTCTCAAATGATGGCAATACTGTGACGTACCATGTTTGGCAGTTTGGGATAGAGCACTTTAAGCACGTGGTTGTACATGACACTAGGTTACAGAGATTCTCATGCACATGCAGGTACTACTCTGAGGCGGGCATGCTTTGTTGCCACATTCTTCGGATCTGTCACGTAACCTCTGTTGATGAGTTTCCTAAAGATTATATATGTATGAGATGGACAAAAGGTTATGGTGCCAGGTCAAGCATAGCTAATGAGGGAGATGGAAAAGCTGCTGGCCCATTGCTGTGGAAGGCACTAATTATGAGACGATTTTCAGATTTGGTGTATGCAAGTGAATATAACAAAGATGCAAAGAAATGTTGTGATGAGGCTGTTGACAGGCTTAAAGAAGAACTCGGCAGTTTCATTGGTTCAAATAATAATGATGAGTCTGTAGACAATGATGGTGTTATAAAGAATCCGGCTGTAAAGAGGAAGAAGTTTGGTCCCAGGAACGAACGTCCTAAAAGCATTCTTGAGAAGGCATGTAACAAAGTCAGAGGCAGGAAAACAAATGCAAAAATTGTTGCAGACCGAACAAGAGCTTCAGTTGCATCAGACCTGCATTATCAAAGCATGCGATTTCCTTATCCAAAGGGAGCTGCTCAACATTTTACAGGCTCAGGAAGTTTTGCTGCTGTGAATGCTTCTCATCAAAGCGTGCCATCTTTGAACGTAAATTCCAGTGGACTCTCATTTGCTAATCCAAGCATAGCTGCCCAGCATTTTTCATGGGCAGGGGCTTCCACTTTTATGAATGCTTCTGATCAAAGCATGCCGTTCATCAACCAAAATTCCGGTGGATTCTCATTTCCAATTCCCAAGGGAGGTAGCCAGGAGTTTCAAGGCGAAAGCACTTCCGCTGCTGTGAATCCTTCTCATCAAAACATGACATTCATGAATGAAAACTTTGGTGGTTTCTCATTTCCTAACCGGAGGGAAGCTGCTAGGGAGGCTGGAGCGCAGCGTTTCTTCAACAAGATGTTTTATTAGTATTTTAACTTGATGTTGAAATGAACAGTCTTGATGCCGTAAAGATTTTTATTTAAAAAGTATTATTTATTTTAAATTGCAGTATTATACAACCAGTTTTAACTGGTTATCCATTTAATTTGTACTGGTTATCCTAGTGGTTATTTTATATTAGTTATCCGTTGCGTTCATGGTGATTATCCAACCAGTTTGGACTGGTTATCCAAGTTGTCTGTACTGGATATCCATTTTGTCTGTAGTGGATATCCTTTTCGTTTTTACTGGATATCTAACTCGCCTGTACCGGATATGCAACTTTAAATGCATATAAATATTATAGAAAAACACATGAACACGTTGAAGACAGATAACAAGTATAATCTCATGGATATTCAGGTTAAAGACTGTAGTAGCATTTTATTTTACTGGATAATCACAATAAACATTCGGATAATCAGGTTTAACAAGATGGATAACTGGTACAATGATCATGGATAACCATTACAAACGGTTGGATATTGCTGCACATTGTCTGGATAACCAGTACAAAAGTCCTGGATAAGCAAGATAACATCATAGGATAAGCAGTTTAATAAAGAAGTAGAAAGACCAAGAAATTGGGACACTCATTTTTTATTTTTTCTTGCAATTTACAGAAATATTTGTAGGCCCAAAATACATTGGATAACCAGCATAGATAATCTGGATAATTAGTACAAAGTCCTGGGATAACTAGTAATATCATTAGATAACCAGTACAAAGTCCTAAAAGTGTGTTAATGTTTCCCAGAAGTAACATGCTCTAATTATGAAACTGGTTTCTAGATCCGGCGATATACTTGAGTGTGTGATTTTCCTGGCAGGAACACTATACAACAACAAATGACGATTATCGTATCCTTTTACAATGAACTGTCCTGCTGGAGATGATTTGTGGCTTAAGAACACTGGATAAAGCCAATCATGACGGAAATGTAATCCCTGTGGAACGTGCGTGTTCACATTTGGGAATTCATGGGTCTAAAATATGCAATCCCATGTGGAAGTATCTGGATCCCATGTCCACATCTCACAGTGATGATTCTGAGTAATCTCGTACTCATCTGTTACACACATAGTCCCCTGGTAGTCCAATATTTTCACTTGGAGATTCATATGGGAAGGATAAGTGGGGTTAAAGAAGGTTGGAGATGGAGGGCAGTTTATGGGTTGGAATTGTTGAGTGTGGTAGTCAAACACAACCAACAACTCTTGAGGTGTTGCTATTTCAGAGGATAGTTTGTCTACACGCCAGTACACGAATCTATCAAACCAGATTCCATGAGATACAAGGCGAGGACATACATTGCAAAGTGTTTTCCATTCCCCTCTATGAATTCTTGAACAACTTTGAAAAGAAAAAAAGCAGCCTTGCATGTTTTTTCCATCGGCAATTAGGGCCATGAAAACGTAAGTTTTTGAGGATGATACGTACCCAAATGCTGTTTCACAATTGCTGAGAGGGACATCATATGGCCATTCAACTGTTGCAAGTTGTGTTGTCTTTGCGTTCAAGAATTTGATTTGAGAGCTGGTTTGCAGACAGATCAAATCTGTGGTGATAGGTATGATTTTACGGATGCCATCGTCACCCATCGACATTTCTTCTTGAAATCGTATGTGGTTGCATGGGTTATCCATTTGCACTTTTATCTTGGTGGCGATTAGTTTGTCTTGCAACAGGTGATCTTCTTGGCTTGTTTGAGTGAAAACAAGGATGTTGTTTTCACTTGCAGGGTAGCTCATCTCACGTTTTTTAAGAACAAATTCCTGTCTTTTCGTCATTTCCTCCCAAGCTTTGCTGACACGACGGAACTGTCCAATCTTTTCCAATGACAGATTAATGAACATTTTATCAAGCATATCGTGATGGATATATTCATGATAGATGGGGGACATTTGTTTGGTGCTGGAATTTGAGGAAATTTTTTCGTTTTTCATTTTTTTCTAGCTGTTGGAGGTTTTGAATGCTCAAATCAGGCGATCTGGTGTATGTGCAGATGAAGGAGTTTTAGCCCCAGGTAGAGATCAAGAAACTCATTTAATGACAGTTATGTAAAAACGTGTGGCTCTGTAACTACCCATTAGATCATGGTGGATGTACTGTGCACGAACACGAGCATTTTCAGTTTTCTTTTTTTTTATTTATACTGCCTCAATCTTTTAAATTCTATTTTAATTACAGAACGTGTGGTTTTCAGTTATACACAGTAACATGTTCCACACTATGGATAACCAGTATGGACATAATAGATAACCAGTGTTGATTATCCTTAAATGAGTTACATAAACTGCTGGATAACCACTGCAAAATTTGTGGATAACTAATACAAAAGTTCTGGATAACTAATTCAGAGCATTGGATAATGATCATAGAATAAAAACAAAGTGAATTTTACTGTGGGTAACCAGCATTTTTTCATAAGGAATAAAAAACAAAGTGAATTTTATACCCATAAAAAGGGCGAGAGCAGGTGAATGGTTGAAGGAATGGTACATTATCCAACACACTCAATTATGATTGAATGACGTTTTCGGGAGAAGGATTCTAAGGGATAATTATTATGATTGCCCGGCCGCCGTTTGGAAAATGTGCACACTAATGGGGCAGCTTTTCCAGAATTTGGGCGGGATTCTGAAGCGGGTTGCGTTCCCGGGTTGGGTTTTGCCCGCTAGTTAAGTCAGACGGTCTGGCCCTCATCGATTTTTTGTTCTCCATCATTTGTCAAACTTCACCTCATTCATTTTTTTAAACACTGTTTATGAAATTTGCCTTCTTCGGCATGTGGGCGGCACAGCCGCGGGACCGGCGCAGCCGGGTCGTTTATCACGGGGGGATTTATACAATTAATTTGGGTCCCCTCTTAACGCAATAACACACTCTCCTTACACACACACGAAAAAAGGATTACCTTAGCTACATTGGCGTGTTCGGCGGGGCGGCGCAGCCGGGGCAGGTTGGTGACCTGCGATTCCGGTAGCCGCGGGAGTCGTTTAGTTTATCATGGGGGGCGAAGCCCCCCAGTGTATATGGGGGGGCGAAGCCCCCCAATGAATTTGCCGTTTGGATTGCACTATTGAGGTTCTGGATAACAAGTATAATCTCTTGGATATTAAGTATTGAGGTTAAAGAATGTACTTGCATTTTTCTTTGAATGGATGATCAGTATAAAACTTTTGTTACATATGGATAAGCAGTATTGATTTTTTGGATAACAATTATAATCTCATGTATAATCAGATTAAAGACTGTACTTGCATTTTTTTAGACTGGATAATCACTATAAAACATTCGGATAATCAGGTTTATCAAGATGGATAACTGGTACAATGATCTTGGATAACCACTACAAACGGTTGGATTTTGCCGCACATTTGCTGGATAACCAGTACAAATGTCCTGGATGATGAATTCAAAGCATTGGATAATCAGTATAAAACATTCGGATAATCAGGTTTATCAAGATGGATAACTGGTACAATGATCTTGGATAACCACTACAAACGGTTGGATTTTGCCGCACATTTGCTGGATAACCAGTACAAATGTCCTGGATGATGAATTCAAAGCATTGGATAATCAGTAGAAAGATCCTGGATAACCATTACAAAATGATCTGGACTACAACAGTCAATCAATTATACAAGACAAGATAATGACAGTTCATTTAACGCATCCCTGATTTTTTTTGTCATTGTAGTAAGATTTGCTGCTCAAATCAACATGATCTGGAATTTCTTTTGGTTCTTCTTCAGCAGTATTTGTGTAGAACTGGTGCATTGCTTTGAGGATTTTGTCCTTATTTTTGTTGGATGGGTGCATAAGGATTTTTAACATGTATCTCCACCGGTACTCTTTGATGTTTCCTGTGTGGAAATCCAAAGTAGTACCATCCTCGTAGTCACCACCATCATACTTCTCCATGTGGTGCATTGTGAATATTCCACAATCTTCCGCATTTGGCTTTTTGTCGTTGTGAGATGGTAGCGTAACCTCTGTGAAGGTCAACTGAGCATTGACCAGTTCTATGTTTGGAAACACACATTGAATGTACATTTTAAAGAACCGAAACTGCGATGCCATAAAATTCAAGGATCAGCAAAATGCAATGGTTAATTCTGGTTTGTATGACAATCATTTTGTATCTTTTTTTCACTCACAAGTAGATCCTTTGTTGGCTTGTAGTAGTCCAGATCTTTTGCATGAAGATTGTTGAATGCGAGGACTTTCTTCTCTTGAACCAGCAACACATACAAGAAGTAATGTTCTCTGTAGTGCACTGGGAAGTAGATCTGATTTTTCACATTGAAAGGGAAAATCATAAGAAAATTTTTTAACAGCCAGTTATAGAAAGAGTGAAGGAGGTGAAAGATGTTGCTTACGGCTTTTGCCACTATCAGGGATCCTACACTGAGTCCTTGTTCTTCTAGTTCAAGAGCCAACCTCTCGTAGAACGTGAACTCTATTTCCTCTTTGTTACTATCCTGTTGATAGTAGCGACTGATTGTATCCTGCGTTATTGTTTAAGATGGTTGGAAAATGATATAATGATCAGTACAATGGCTGGATAACTAGTTTACAGGATGTGGATAACCAGCAATTATGGCTGGATAACTAATTTACAGAATGTGGATAACCAGCAATTATGGCTGGATAACTAGTTTACAGAATGTGGATAACCAGCAATTATGGCTGGATAACTTGTTTACAGAATGTGGATAACCAGCCGTTATGGCTGGATAACTAGTGGGAAGCCTATAGATAAACAACTTGCAGACACGTGACAAGTATTTTACCAGGGCGGGATAAAGAATAACGGTTTAGTTGACTTACAAATGCGGAAACACCAAAGAATATCCGACTTGGGGAGTCTTTTTTAGCTTCTTCTTTGTTTAGGATGACAGCCCAAGCATCTATGATGCTGTTTTCTATCCATGTGCCTTCCCTCATGGAATAGAATGCTGTCCTGTCTGCCCAAACAATTTTTCCAAATTGAAACAAGAAATTCCTGCATAGAAAAAGTAGTCAAATAGACAAATAGTTGGAAAACCGGTAAGTTTTTTATCGGACGGGTAAGGATGGTGGCTTTTACCCCGATTTAACTATTTCTTCTTGTCTCTGCAAGAGAGCGAAGTCTATCAACAGGGCTTCTTCTTCAGTCATTTTCTTGTTCTCCTCTGTCAACTGTATGAATTTTTTCTTGTTTTTCTTCTGCAGCATGAACGGCGACCTGAACCGTTCGGGCAACCGGTGGATTCTTGGTGGATTTCTCCTCCTAGGTTTTTGTTTGAGGATCCTAGGACAAAACAAAAGAGAGTTAGTATCTAAATTCATGTTTCTATTTTGTTGTGAGCATTCACAGTGGATCAAACTTACTTTTCCACTGTCTTTGTTAAGCCTTCATCAAGTACTTCAGCTTCCTTTGAGATTGCAGGCGGTGGCGTGGTACACTCATTTTTGTCCAGCATGAGTAAACGATCCGTGGTAGAAGCAGCATTCCAATCGGGTGGAATTATGCTTAAAGGGACTGCTTCAACCACCTCTGGGTTTTTCTCAACTTGTTCTGCAACAGCTGCAATGATCTCTAGTTTTTCTGTATCACTCGACGTCTCTGAAGCTGGTGCACTGGCCCTTGTTATAATTTCATCGATAGAAGGAATGGGATTCTTTGTTTCGTCCAGAGCAGATGGTACTGGATATTCTTCTGCTTCTATAGTCTCATTCACATCTTTATCCAGATCAACCGTTACTGTGACATCTTCTTGAGTTTTCTTCTCTTGGGCTGTCTCGTAACTGTCTTCCTGACTGGAGAAGATACCCAGGTTAAAGCTTGGGATACTTGCGTCTTTCAATGCTTTCCTTTTCCTGGTACCAGTGCTTCTCGACCTTTTGCTATAGGTGGATGTCACAGCTGTATCCCGCCCGGTGGAATCTTGATGGGATCTCTTCTTTTCTGTCGTGGAGACATTCGTTGCATGTTCTGCAGTACAAAGTTGGAATGTTGGATAATCAGTACGAAGGAAGTGGATAATCAGTTCAAATATGATGGATAATCAGGAGGAACACAATGGATAACCATCTAAAGGGGAAAAGGAGGGTTTTACAGGCAGTACAAATTAGACAGATTGGATAACCAGTTCAAATGAAGTGGATAATGAGTTCAAATAGGCTGGATAAGCAGCAGAACACAATGGATAACCATTTAAAGGGATAAAAAGGGTTTGGATAAGCAGTACAAATTAGTTGGATGACAAGTACAATCACATCAGACAAGTATTTGTTTCATTACCTCTTGGTTGAGTTTGTTTTCCATCAACCCGCACTTCTTTTGAAGTAGGCACGGATTTCCCCACTGGAAGAGAATTCCTATCATTTGTCTGGCTCAATTGATCCAGTCCCTGTGCCCCTTGTAGTTGAGTTTGTGGTTCATCAACCACCACTTCTTTTGAAGTAGGCACAGTTTTCCCCACTGCAATAGAAGCCTCATCATTTGTCTGGCTCAATTGCTCCAGTCCCTGTGCTTTGTCAATTTCAATGTCTTGAAATTTTGCGAGATTAATTGGAGCTTCTACAGTGTTGTCATCAGTTTGTTGGTGTTGCTGTTGTTCTTGTTGGTCAGCTACTTGTCGTTGCAGCTGTTCTATGATTGTTGCAAATCTGCTTTCAGCGGACTTCCATGCCATCTCGCACAGTTCACAAATCTGTGCATCCTGGAGGTCTTGCTGGTGTTGCTGCTGCTCTTGTTCCAGTTGCGTTGTACCTGAAGGCGGAGGCATCTTTCTACTCATCGACACCATTTCATCTGATAGGATCTTGATTGTTTGCTTTGCTTGTTCATCTGGTTCGATTCTTAACTCCATTTCCTTCTCACGAATGTCTAAAACAGTTTTGCTCATCGTGATAATCAATTTGTAGAATTTTTCGTAAAGAGCGGCAAGGTCCTGCAAAATTGAATGTAGTTAGTGGAATGTGGAGATGCTAGGTTGGATACGTAAGTTTGATCTGAAAAAAAATAGTAGAACAGTACATAGACTTGCTGTGTGTTGTGGATTCCCTGTGTATCCTCCTTCTATGATTCAGCCTCTGGTTGCTCATCTCGAGATGTTGCTGAGGACGGTTTATTGAGACGTTCAAGTGTCTGGACATCTGTGAAATTGCTTCCCTGAAGCCTTATTCTGTCGTCCCGCATCCTTTGGTCCCAAGATTTGATCACAGGGAACGACCTCGGATGTGCTCTCTCATACTCACACCTGTCAAGGTAGCACAACTAACCAAAAAAAAAAAAAAAAAGTTGGTGTCCATCAGAATTTAGACAGATTGGATAACCAGCTCAAATGAAGTGGATAACCAGTTCAAATGAAGTGGATAGTGAGTTCAAATAGGCAGGATAACCGGCAGGAACACAATGGATAACCATTTAAAGGGGAAAAAGAGGGCTGGACAAGCAGTACCAATTAGTTGGATGACAAGTACAATCATATCAGACAAGTACAAGCAAATTGGATAAACATTGCAAGCAATATGGATAAGTAGTAAAGTTTGCATGGATATGGTAAGTACCAGGAAAAAAGTGATTGGTCCAGTGAATGGCTTCCCATCGTGGTGACTTTTGCATCCTTTCACAAGTGCATCAATCACATATTGACACCAATTGTATTGTGTCACTTCATTGATGTTCACAAGGGACTTCAGGATGTTCATTGTGATCCTGGAAGTGGTGTTTCCATGTAGGAACGTGCTCACAACAAAGACGAGGAAATCTCGTTTGAAATCATCACCAAAATTTTTTCGACTAGCAATTAATTGTGCCGCGGTGGATCTCGTTGGCAGGAATTTATTACTGTATCCCATTCTTTTCTTGAACGCATCCACCATCTCAGCATGGTCCGTTATAGCGGGATCATTCTGTTTGAATTCTTGCACTGGTTTGGGTCCACAAGGAAGATCAAGTACAGCAACATCTTCCTGTTTGATATCCAGTACATTGTTGCCATTCAATGGGACTTGTCTGGCACCAGTCTGGAAATTGCTTGCCAGAAAATTACACAAGGCTGTTGGAATATTTTTGATTTTGAGATCCAGCAATGCGCCAAATCCCATATCTCTGATAGCCTGCCTTTGTAGTTGGCGATAATCTACCGCATTTGGCTCTTTTGTAAGATCTGTTGGTTTATTGATTTCAGTGATGAGTTGGAAGAGATGGTTCGGTGTCATCCTTGTCTCAAATTTCTTGACAAAATCTTCAGAACTGATTGGCCATGGATCTTGACCAATTATCAATTTGTTGTTCTCAGGTTTCATTCTTTTCTTTTTGCGGTTTTTATCATCGTTGTCATCAGCAACCACAAGTTGCTTTGGATTTCCTGCCGGTGTGCTCTTCTTCCTCTTTGGTTTTCTCCACAAGTTTTGGTTGCTTGGAGTTTGTACAGGGGACTGTTCTTCTTGGGTTGGTTTTTGTTTTTTATATAGGGTCAGTGTTCCTTTAGGGAGCTCCATTATTTTATCTGGTTCAGGATCCGGTGATCTGTCTGCGTTGCAATTGAGGTCGTGGAATGCGCTGATCCAATCGTGCCTATATTTTGTCCTAAACTCCTTTAGGGCACTGTTGGCATTGCACAATCAGTAAGAAGTCAGTGGACAAAATAGCAGGATATGGGTGGATAATCAGTAAGAAGTCAGTATGGACATGTAGCCAGATAAAAGCACATCTAAAAAAAAAAAAACAATGGATAACCAGTTTACTCACTTCGGATAACCAAGTTAAAATGGGTGGATAATCAAGCAACACAAAATCAAACGTTAAAAAAGCACAGGATAACCAGTTCGGAACATGTGGATAACCAGTTTACCACTTGTGGATAACCAGTATGAAATGGTTGGATAACCAGCAAAGAATGTATGGACGTAGCCACATAAAAGCACATCTATAAAAAACAATGGATAACCAGTTTACACCATGCGGATAACAAATACTTGTTGGATGGATAACCAAAAAACAAAGTTTGGACAAGCACCCCTAAACCCTAAACCCTAAACAAACAAAAAAAAAAAAACACAAAAACATGGATAACCAGATCTGTTTGTTCATGCCACATAGAATAAAATGTAAAAAAAGCATAGATAACAAGTTTAAAACTTGTGGATAACCACTTTACAACTTCTGGATAACCACCCTACAACTTATGGATAACCAGAATGAAATAGGTGGATAACAAATGTCAGTATGATATAGATGGATAAACAGAGATTATGGCATGGACAACGATCACATAGCATACGCAGGAAACCATGGATAAATGGTTCAGATCTAGTGGAAACACACAAGATATTGCTGGATTATCAAAAAAAAAGGATCCCGGAGCAATATACTTACCATTCAAGCATGTATAGATGAAGGAGAGCTTGAGATGTCCGGAGGTAGGGTTTCTTGCCGTCGTCTGTGTGTGTGTGTGGGTTTGCTCTAAATTGGAGAGTTTCCGTCGACTGTGTGTTTGTGTGTGTTTGTGTGTGTTTATGTGTGAGGATAAAAATGATGAAAATTACTTTATGTAAAGGTAAAAACAGTTAAGCGCGTGGTGCTCGTGTCTTTGGTGGGGGGGGGATACGGTACACCCGGGTGCACTGGATACAGTCTCAAAAACAGTGCTGGCAATATCGCTGGCCTATTCATATAGGATGAAGGGAGTGCAGTTTTAGCTGAAGTCCAAAATTCTTAATCTAAGACCTTATAAGTTAATACTCGGACTAAAATCTCGGAAGTTAACTGACACTTAATTTACGTTTTATACTGGTTTAGTCATGAGTGTTGGAATGTTTATCACTTTAGTCTTTATGTCAATTACATGGTTCATCTAATATTTTCGAAAAATAAAATAAAAATTAAAACAAAAAAACACTCGAAGGATACTAGGTTTCGAAATATAATATTTTTTAAAAAAAAATTTACTCCTGCTGTCTTGCATGTAGAATTCTATTGTGTTGGTCTTCAAAATAGTACTGTTCTATCATTTTTGAGCTGGCTCTTCATTTTGGACTCCATTGATCATCTGTTTCACAAAAAAAGAAAATATGTTCCCTCCTCCTTTATGTAAGGCATGAATAACTACTTTAGATAATTAAGAAAAGTAGATAAGTTAGTTATTTTGTGGTGAACTATCCACATTACACACGTTAATAATGTACACATTCGTTAGAAACCCATTAAAATAAAGTTTAGTCGATTCAAGTTAGGGCAAAGTAGGAATTACACTAAAATGAAACTTTATAAATATCAAATGCCTTGTAATTAAGACCAAGAGAAATCTTAAATGATGTATTATAATACGGACCAGAGGGAAGTTGAGAATTGAGAGGGATTCATGTAATCAAAGGCGATATATAATGTCAAATCATCAATTTAAGTACTTTTGATTGATTCTAATAAGGAACAAGAATTGGCCGGCGGCACTTGTTAACAATGCATTCTTGTTATTCCTAAACTAATCTCACTCTTATATTGACATCCTAGCGACAAGATAAGTGACACCCTTTTAAAATATTAACCAACGACCTACTCCAACAAAAAAAAAAAAGGAGCTTTCAAAATTCATTGCTTGTAGATGATCTTATACCTCAAACCATAAGCCGCCATTTTTAAAATATAAATAAAAAGAAATATTTTGGGACGTATTCATTGTACCGTCACGTCAGCATAAGGAAACCAGTTGTGTTTATTTGTAAAGTTGGTCCACTGTTTGGGTTTGAGAAGGTTGGGGAGTCACTTTGCGAAATGATCAAATAAATAAATAAATACTCTCTCCGTCCCAAAAAATAATCCATATTGAGTTTTTGAATCTGTACTAAAACTAGTACAAATCTTAAAACTGAATAGGAACTATTTCTTTGGGACGAAGGTAGTAAAAGGAACGGAAAAGAGAAATTCATTCAATTTGTGTGGTCGAGCTGAACGCTTTTGTCTGATTTACGGGAGTATTCTCCTATGATGTCCGCAAAATGATTTTATAAGTGTAGAAACATAAAATAAAAGGATTAATGAAAGTTTTGTCCATGCATACATTAATCCAATATATTTTGTTTTTTGTATTGCATTCTCCTGACTTTTTCAAGAACATGAGTTTGGAGTAGTAATAATCTTGACTCTTCGGAATGCTTTAGGAACAGAAAGACAAGGAGATCTGAGGGCAATAGGACAAAGTTAAAGAGTAGCCCGTCTTTTTAAAATATCCATTTTCTTTTTCTTTTCTTTTTTTTTTTGAAACGGTTTTATATGTATTGTGTAAATTTGTCATAAATTTACGCATCTGTTTCTAGGGTAAGTAACTATTTCTTCCGTACTGAAATAATTATTTAGTTTAATTTTTAATTTTATTATAAATTATACTAAAATTAATAACTGGAATAGGATAATCATTTTGACACTGGAAAGTATAAAGTAACCTAAAGAAGAATATGAATACCGCAATCCGATCAATAGGACAACATAGGAAGATTCACTGTCCTAATAAAACTCCATTTGATTTTAATTACAAGAAATATATAAATTCTCGCTAAAGTTAGTTTCTTATTTGTGTTTTATGATTAGGCAGTGCATAACTGTTGCGTCTTGATTCTTGAGTGTTTAGATGGTAATTAAACCTTTCCATCGATCAAATTTAAAACTCCGCCAAACCGAAAAGAAAAATATAAAATTAACTGCTCTTTATTACTTGAGCTTCTATAGATTTTTAGACTATGTGCAGATTTGTCTCAGCTATCGCATGCGCTGCTAAATACAACTGGGGATGTCACTCTAGCACGATTGCGCAAACAAATTAATTCTGGTAGAATAGGGGAGAGATTCACAAACTAAAATTTTGAAAAC